GACCCCTTACAAGTAGAGCGCATCAAATTTGCCTTTGAAACTGAAAATGGATTAATAGGCAAGTAAGCCAGTGTGTGAATGCTTCTATCTTCTGCTAACCCTTGTGCTGATAATTCTTATAATCTTCTGGTTTCTTAATCCTTCTAACTGTTTTACTTCTGATGGAAAGCAACTTGGCATTATCTGATTTAACAACCACCACTGAAGTGAAGTTACTAAAATACAAGAGTCATGGGGAAGACCCAGAATGATGAGAGCTTGCTTTGTATGAATCAGAAGAAATGGCTTTTCGTGTAACAGAAATGTAGATGAGCTCAAAGAGCACATCTAATCTGCAAGTGCTGCTTGGTATCTCTTTCATAGCTGTTTGGTTGAGAAGCTGTTTCAGATGATGGCTTTCACCTGATTTTGTTTCAGATTCTGTGTTTGTGAGAAAGAAATTTAAAAAAAAAAAAAAGCTAAATATTCTCTCATGCCTCACTGCTCTTCTGGTTACTAATTTCCATGTCTGACTAACAGAAGAGAAGATAACAAGTAGTAGTGTAAGGGAATAGTGGTTATTTTAGTTCCAGATATGTCGGTCCCACTTGGACCAATCCTGTTCTGTAATTTAGGCAATACTTTATTTCTGCAGAGGAGAGATGCAATTATTCAATTTAATCTTTATGTTGTAGGCTTATTGTGTTTGTTGTTGAATAGCACACTTTACAAGAACTGCTGTGAGTTTTGGGAATTAATGTTGTGGGTTTGCCTTGGAGTTGCCTAGCAACAGCACTAAACAACTTCCAGTTTCACTGCATGTGGTCCATGACCTGTCAGTCACATTGGCTGCTTTTACTCCAAGAAAAGAAAGTAGCAAATAATAGCTCTCTGTGGTCCTTATGAGAATTTTTACTATCTTGTTTGTGTAACGAAGCTTCAGACATTATCCTAGTTTTGCAAGTTAAAATCCAGGAGGAAGCTGGTTTTCTCCTTTTTTACCATGGCTTCAAACTTTTTTTCTTTCAAATTTGTAACCATAGCAATTATCTAACATAAAATGGATTATAGGGGAAAAAAACTGTGTTAGGAGAGGGCTGTTTAAAATTCAGGTGCCACGTTTGAAAGAATTACTGCATTTTGACTTTGATCTATTTTTAATCCAATAGTTCTGTAAATACTCAAAACTGCCAGTGATACAGCAGTGTGTTGAACACAAATGCTCATGCATCTGTAGCAATAACTTCTCCCACATAAGCTAAAATTTTAGCTTCGTGCTTGTTGCATTTTTGACTTGGTTGGTACACAGAAGTCTGATTTGTGGTTTTTAATCCAAGTGTTTCTGCCCACAGCCTTGATGCACCACAGCAACCATGTGGACAGCAGTCGCTGTTACCAGTGTGTCAAGTTCCTTGTTACTTTGGCTCAGAAGTGAGTAGCGTGGGTTTCATTGTTCAATCTTATTCTTGCATTAGATCCCACTGTGACTGTTTAGGCTGCTGCTCTTTCTATTTTTGATCAGCTTTAGCCTCTGTTATTGTAATATAAGTGGTGCTTATAGTAGGAGCTGCCTAGCATTAAGACCAAGATAAAGATAAGAAAACTGCCCCAGATATTTGAAATATTGTGATTACTAAATCTTGTTTGCTTGGAACTTGGCAGATGTCCTGATAAAGCATAGATCTGAAATAAGTGTATCTGTACAGAAGTACTGCATTGTGTAAACTTTATTGTTCTTGCTAATTCGGTTAATAATAGAATTGTTTGGCATAAGTCAGCATACAAAGGACAGCAGCATAAAGAAATATACATGGATTATTATTTTTTTCCCCTTTGCAAGAGTGCCTTGTTCATTAACAATGAAACTCATTTCAATTTCCAAGGTGCCCTACTGCAAAAGATTATTTCAAGGAGAATTCCCACCACTGGAGTTGGGCTGTGCAGTGGCTACAGAAAAAGGTAGTTTGGCTGTAACTGTATGGAGAAACATCACTTTATTTACAGAGAGAATTATAAAACCTCCAATCTGTACTTGAATCTTAAGTTGATTTAAGACAAAAATACAAACTACTTTATTTTTTTTTACAATGAGAGCTTGGATGAAGTTAAACCTGGTACATTCAAGAACTTTGGTGAGCCACCACATGTTTTAGGCTTAGCTGTTTGTGCAATAAATATAACTGAGTGGAAATGGTCATAATGATTATTGTTCTTTGTCATGTGGGAAGCTTTCACTGCCAGTATATTCCTGTTAGACTTCTCTTTATTGCAGGAGTGGATTTCTTACAGAATCATCTAAGCTTTGCACAGAACACAGCTGTTGACATGTACAGCTTTTTGTTTCTACATAGTTTTGTCAGTAGGATGTTTGTAGTGCAGCTGGCGCTTGTTGCCACTCTTCTCTTGAACTGACAGCTCTGGATAGTTCTGTGCCTATTTTTACAATGTACTGGCTTCTGAAAATGCTTGTTGAATATCTGGATCTACTGCTCTTCAGCTGGATAACCTGCAGTCATGTTGTTGGCAGACAGAAGGAGCTGATGACTAGGTTTCAGCTGAAGGGCAGTAGTCTCTGAAACTATTCTTAGCTGCATCAGAAGGCTGTATCTCAGCTCTCCAGCTTGTTGATGGATTCAGGAAGCTTATTCCAGACTTGCTAGTCTACCTGTCATCACAAGTGTATAAGACCTTACACGTGTGAAGCTCATACTGCAATTCTGTAGCTTTCTTGGTTTTTTTATGCCTTTTTTTTTTAATGCACTTTTTAATGCAGATGTCTGAACATTACTGGGCACCTCAGAGTAATGTTTCCAATGAAACATCAACTGCAAAAACCTTCCAGCGCACTATTTCAGCACAGGTATGTGTGTCAGTCCTGGGGGATGGTATTAAGCTTGGTTTATTTCCCCCTCTCACTTTTCAGTTAGCAGCTGTAGTTTTAGCAGCTTTACCATATTCCTCTGTACTTCATACCATTCCTACCTGACAAACCTATATCTTGTGGCTTTTTCTGTAGAAATTAATCCGTACAATTATCTTGTCACTTCCTAACAGGACACACTGGCCTATGCCACAGCCTTGCTGAATGAAAAAGATCAGTCTGGAAGCAGTAATGGGTCAGAAAGTAGTCCAGCCAATGAGAATGGAGACAGACACCTACAGCAGGTAACAATTAAATAAGGGCGTATTTGTCTGTTGCATTGCTCAACTTGGTTCTGACCCAAATTCTAGAAACACCACTGAATATAATCACAATAATTGTGTGCCTGATGAAAAATAATGTACCATATCTTTCTCTCCCCTCCCCTTGTGTGTGTTGAAAGGGCTCAGAGTCTCCTATGATGATTGGTGAGACTAAAAGTGACCTTGATGATGTTGACCCATAAAAGGATACCCGTGAACCCAAGAACAGATCAACTCAAACGTTCAATGCCTGGTACCTGTTGAAACCTAGAGTCCTATTGCTTATGCTATTACAAGAGTCTGGAAGAGAAGGATCTATGGCAATGTTGAAGAAGGTTGTTTCCCTGAAAGCTAAAAGCATTTATTAGCCACGAAGGCTTCAGATTGACAAATGCTCTAGAAAACTGCATCTTCACCTGCAGTAGCTTATGACAGTCCAGACACCAACAACATTTTTGTCAAGAAGATTTTATCAAATACACAAACGCTAGTGGTTGAATTTTTATGTGAACATTAAATGAGTGAATGTAAAACTGTTGCTTTTCTGTGATGCTGCAAAAAAAAAATTCTTTTGGTTTTTATACAGAGAAAAACCAGACTGCCCTTATGTATGGAGGGCAAATTTTTAATCTTTCTGATAATATTGAATAGGAATATTCAAATTTCTGTATAAAGATGTGTGATGACTTACATTTCATTGTAAAATATTAGTTAAAGAATCAGTTTACATAAGGACTTCCGTATTTAATATGTCTCCCTGCTCATTTGTAAAGCTCTTTAATGGAAGGATCAGTAAGATTGCTCTGTGAGGAGAGTAGCTCCTTACAGAAAGGTTTGGTCATGGAGCTTCTAGCATGGCTTGTCTTTTTGGTACCCTTCCAAAAACCACAGGCAGTCAGGAAGGGCCATAAAAGAAAAACGTTCTCAAGGTATGCAAGTGTTTATGAAAGGATGTTGGTGGATTTAAAAAATAATAATTAAAAAAAAAAAGTAGTTTAAAAGAAAAGAAGCACTTTAAAATGGATTTCTGTTGCAGTTTTACTCATGAAATTTTTTACTTTTGGAGACATATTGAATCAAATGTAGTCTCAATCGTGTGACCTGCAATCACTTGCTTATGCTTTCAAATTACTGAGAAAGTTAGTATTGGTTGTACATGATGAATAATTCCTTGATTGAGTTTGGGGACACTGTCGTGCAGATTTTATTAAGCAATTTTAACACGGGGAAAGAGTGATTTGGCTTTGTTTATATTTTCACTTGACCAGGCAACATTTAAAATATCACAGCTCTTTTGATTTGCTCGTAAACAACTGGAAGGCAGTTGGGATGATTTGAGCACAGTTTTGTTTTCCATATCAAATTTAGTTCAGTGACTTCTGGTTCTGGATACTAGCTTCTTTTGTGCCAACTAACTTCATACTTTGTACATTTTGCGTTTGTCACGTTTTCTGCACTGCTTTTTGCCTTTATTTATGGATTCTGCCTTACTTTAAAAATTATGTAAACAAACATGCACAGAAATGGGAGGGCATCTCAAGGAGTGCCTGGGCACCTCCAGAATAGACAAATTTGCCAAGTTAAAGGCACAACCAGCCAAAAAGTGCCTTTTTTCTTTCTACAGACTGTTGCTGAACCAAGAAGCAACAGACAGCTTTTCACTGTTGTGCACTAATATTGAAATTAACCAGTCATTTCACTGTTGGAAGCAAACATCTGATATGATTTCAGCTGTACAGCTTTATAACTTATTGCGGGTTAAGAGAACTTGTCGTAAATTGCGTGTGCAAAGATGCAAGGGTGGCATTGTAGTGAATATCTCACTTTTTGTTGATTGATTTTTTTTTTTTTTTCCAAACAATGTCTTCATAGGCACGTGGCAAAGTTAGCATTTTATAAATGTTTCTGATAATGTGCTGGGACATTTTAAATGTGTGACGTTTTAAATTAATTTTGAATAAATCGTTTCTTACAGATCCCCTTTCTTCCTTCCCCCATCCCCAATACTTTGTAATGGGCCATAAATCTTCACAAACAGTCAGTACACAGCGGTGATGGTGATGGAGGAAGCTGGTAACGTTCCTATGGGTTGGCACCACTTGTCACTTCAGGTTCCTGTTATTTCCTATGGAAACAACGTCCTCGATTACTGCATGCCCAGAGAAGCACTGATGGGAGAACTGCATCAGGATGGCTCATCACCACTGTATACTTGAAACCAATACAAACTTTTTCATGGTTCTGCTCACGCTTGTACAAAGTCGATGGTTATAATTTGCAATAAGATCAATTATTTTGGTTTCCAGCTGCTGTCATTTGAACCTGCTGAAGATTATTTTTTTGGAAAATAGAGTTCAACAAAACTAGTTTTTGTGTAAATTGTGATGCATTTCTATGTTGTAATTTTTACTGCCAATCTTTTTGGATGAAAATGTTTTTATACAGCTTACATGATGTTCAGTGAGAAGCAGCCACAGCCTGCCTGTGAGCATTTGGGGAGATACTGTCCAATTAATACATGAACGTGTGGCACTGGAAAAATAGGCAGTCTTGATAAACAGTCTTGGGATTCCTGGTCAATGGAATAAAGTTATTCCTTTCACAGAAAACTAGTGTAATCTTTAGACTGTGCAACACACTGTCTTGTTGTCTTGTGGATCCTCTTGAAAGTTCTTCATTTGGTCCTCTGGATAATGAGCTCTTAGAGGTTACCCAGCTTACTGGCACCTATCAGGAGCAAACCAAAGCAACTGCACAGCCTCACACTGGGCATGTTGTGGTGCCTGTCAGATTGTATCTGTCTGCAATTCCTTTTCCTGACCTTATCTGAATGATTTACCCTAGCTCTGCTTGCAGTTGTGGGTTAGACTGGCTTCTGTGTGCCTCATAGCAAGATGGGCAGATCTGTTGGTGCCCAGTGCAGAGAGCTGCTATCCCCATCACCTTTCTGCTTTGCTTTGCAAGCAAAGCTAGTGGCCTCAGGGCGTGTAAGCACAAGGACTTGTGTTTCAAGCATCACCCAGCCTGCAGCCTCCGCTGGCAGTGCCCCTCCTGGAGGAGGGCTGGGTATCAAGTACATGTGCTGCTGCTTCTTGGGCTGATAAAACTGCCTCAGGTGCCCTTAGGTAACAGGATCCCTCAGGTTTACCTTGCTTTTTTTTTTTTTCAGTTTGATCCCCAGAACAAACAAGATTAGTTTTTCTGCTTACCTGCACACAGATACTGAGCAAGGGCTGATCTTGTTCCCATATCATTTCCCTTCACTGATCTCATGTGTGAACTGAGCCATGAGAGCTGTGCTGGACTCACTGCCATGTGAGCATCCCCATGGCTTCTGCCTGGAGCGGTGGAGGAGGAGTGGTTATGGCCCCATGAGTACCTGCAGTCTGCTGGAAATTGCCAGCTGTGTCAGGGCTTTGTGTAAGCTCTCAGCTAACAGCCCTCTCTCTTTTTCCCTGTGTGTGTGAAGATTGAAGCTGATAAAACTATGGGCTGTGATTATCTACATGTGTTATGTAATTACATGTTTAGATTAGGGTTGGGCTTTTGCCATCTTTACCTAAAGAGTTAGAAATGGTTCTAACCTTTCCAAGCAGTGCTTCCTGCCTGGTGTCCTGGTGCCAGCTAAAGCTGGAGGAGTTTCTCATATCTGTACCAGGCATTCCAGTGGGGGAAAATGCACCTAAAGCTTGACGGATCCACCTGTACCTGTGCTGTCGAGCTTTATTTTTAAAGCTGTCCTCAACACAGCGCCAAACAAATTATATATTCCAGTAACAGGGAGCTGCTGCTTCCTGAGCGCTGCGCTCACCTTATGCTGGGCTCGGACCTTGCTGCATGCCACCCAGACTTCATGACAACAAGGACACATTTCCTGAAGCTGGGCGATGTTTTGTTTCCACAACTTGAAGCTCTTGCATTCCGATGCTGTTTTAAAAACAAACTTGGCTGTGTCACTAACTAAGCAGAGCTCAGAGACCACGTCCCAGCTCTTCCCTGGAACCTTTACCCCTGGATGGACAGAAAGCAGAGCGTGGGTCATATTTGCTAAGTGCTGCTCTAGGAATTTTATTCTTAGAAGACATAAAAAGGTTTGTTTATAAAAGTCCAAATAAATATTGAAAGTACAGATGTACAAACTGAAGTGCCACAAAAGACAGTTCTTTTTTTCAATAAGGAGGTGCAACTGGGTCTGTTTGGAGCTGTGGAAGTTACAGCAGTGTGGAACATCAGCAGGTCCTTACCTCCAGCAACTAATGGAGCAGCAGCTGATTCTGTAGCATTGCAAGCTGAAATCTAATTAAATGAGTAGAATTAAAACTAGGAGCCTTGCAGTGGCTGAAAAGTAAGGAGATCTTCCAGGTACCTGAGTAGGGAATTTTCAAGCCACCTGAAAAAGACTCAACTGTGCTGCATCAGTTAGCTGAAACTTAAGGACAGAAGGGAGCTTTGTTGGTATAGAGGTTGGAGTGGTAACACGAACAGCCTATACAGTCACTGTATGTACAGGAATGTGGTGGAGAAATGGTGGCAGGGCCAGCAAGCTGCCTATGCTGAGGGCCAGGGCTGGGGCTCAGCCAGGCTGTGATGGGCTCCGTAGCATTGCCATGCCCTGCCATCAGCCAGGCCTGGTACAACACTGCACTCAGCCCATCCCTACTGCTGGCTCCGGCAACAAATGGCGACAGCCCCAAGTGCGTGGCTGCCAGGAGTGCTGGCTGCAACACAGGTGTCATCCACAGCGTAGGACCCCAAGGTGCCACGGCCCTGCGAGTGAGCACTGCAGTCTGTCAACGTCCAGCCAGCATCACAGGACACCGTCACCTGCAAGGAGAAGGATGGATGGGCACCCACAGCTGGGCAAGGTGGCAGCCACACAGTGTCACTGTACCTCCTCTGCAGAGCCCTGGGGTGTGAGCTCCTTCACACGGCACTCCAGCAGGGCAGCAGGGCAGCAGGATGTATGAGTTGTGCCCTCCAGCCTCATCACACAGCCACCAGGCCTGCTGCCCAGCTCCGGCACGGGCCTGCCACCGTCACCCAGCACAGCCACAGGGGAGTGGAAGCTGCAGCCTGCACAGAGATGGGACGTGGGAGCAGTACTCAAGGATGTCCCCACCGAGCTCCACACCCCAAGGGCCCATAGCTGTGTTATGAAGTGTTACCAGTCAGCACGTGGTCCTGCGAGGAGCAGACGGCCACATCATCACCCTGTGAGCTGGCGCTGAGCTGGCACCGGGTGTGGGGCCACGTGCAGCACCTGGCAATGGCGTAGACCCCTCGGCCCCCAAAGGCGCCGTGGGCCACGCACTGCTTCTGCCCCTCCTTGTCCTGCGACCAAGAGCATGGCGTCACTGGCACACACCCCACAGATGACATTTTTGGGCCGCGTTGTGCCTCACCTCCATGTGCTCGCCCAGCCGCCAGCTGCTGTGTGAGAAGCTGGAGCAGCCCAGCAGCTCCTCGGTGCCGGCACAGCGAGCCACAGCTGTGCCATGCCGGGTGGGCCCTGAGCGTGCCGACCACACCGAGCGGCACTGCAGCTCCTTATCTGCAATGGGGTGAGAGGTGTCGGCGCAAGGCCCGCAGCACGTTTCAGGCTCTGCCATCCCCCAGCCCTCACCTGGACCCAGCTGGGCAGGCAGCCCCACCACACTGCTGGGTGTCAGCAGCCGCTGCTCCTCGGGGAACCAGGCCTTGCTGACAACGTTCTTGGTGGCCAAGTGCAGGAGGCGCTGCCGCAGCTCCGCCACACTGAGGTGGGGCTCGGCACTGAGCAGCATGGCTGCAATGCCTGCGGGAGCCAAGGGGATGCGGTGAGAACTGGGGAAAGCCAAAGAGACACGGGCACGCCATGATGGTGGGCTGGGGTCCCTAGGGCTGCCTGCTGTGATGGGACTAAGGGGGGACACAGGACCAAGGGAAGCAACGGGCAAGAGGAATTCACTGCGACCCATCATCTACGTGCACCCAAATGAGCTGATCCCTTCTCCTGGGTAACAGTGATAGGATGAGAGGTGATGGCCTTAAGTTGTGTCAGAGGAGCTTCAGGCTGAGTATCAGGAAAAATTTATTCTCCAAAAGAACAGTGATGCAGTGGCACAGGCTGCCCAGGGAGCGGAGGAGTGACCACTCCTACAGGTGTTCCAGAACCATGGAGATGAGGCACTGAGGGATGGTGGGCAGTGGGCATGGTGGAGTGGGATTGGCTTGCGGATCTTTTCCAGCCTTAACGATTCTATGGTTCTATGAGTTGGAAAGGGTCAGAGGTGCTATACTCCAAATACAACATCTTCCACTCAGTTTTGGTGCAGATACATCCCACCTTGAGCCACAAGAGACCCTGGAACCCACTCACCTGCCACATGTGCAGCTGCCTGCGACGTGCCGCTCTGCGCGGTGAAGCAGGTGCTGCAGCCACTGGAGGCACCGATGATGTCGTCCCCTGGGGCAAACAGGTCGACACAGCGGCCAAAGTTGGTGCCCAGCGTGCCGATGGAGGCCGGCTGATCCTCACGGTTTGTGGCCCCAACCGTGATCACCTGGAGGGGCAATGATAAAAGGGGTGCAGATGGCTCAGCGTGTGCACCAGCATGTTTCCACACGTCCCCACAGCCTGGGAACCCCCATGCTCATACCTCTGGCTCGGACGCAGGTGAATACAGGCAGGCATCATCCTTGTAGTTCCCAGCAGCCACAACAACCACCGCCCCCATCTGCACCATCTGCCGACAGCCGGCGTTCAGCACACGGCTGTGGGCACCGGCAAAGGGCAGCAGCACCACCAGCAGCGGGCTGGGCTGAGCGTCCAGCGATGCCCCTACAAATTCCAGCCCTGCGGGATGGGCCAAAGGATGGGGATGGGGCTGATGGTAGGGCAGGGTTGAGGTGAGCAGGGTTGGGTCTCCCAGTTGGGCACTCACCAATGAGTGTCCCGCTGACAGTGCCCTTCCCCTGGCAGTTCAGCACACGGAGGCTGTGGATGTGTGCACCCCTGGCCACACCAGCATCGCGCCCGCTCAGCACCCCAGCCATGTGGGTCCCATGGCTCTCACATTTGCTGGCCTGGAGTGGGGATGGTTTTATGCCCTGATGCATTGCAGAAAGGAGGGGGGGTAAGCACCAGGCTTGCCACACAACCATAGGCTCACCTGCCTGTGGAAGTGGCTGCTGTCCTCCTCAGGGACATTCTGGAAGTCGGTGATGAACACCCTGCCTGCAATCTCCCGGTGGGTGCTCTGCACGCTGGTGTCCAGCAGGTAGATCTGCACCTTGTCACCTTTATCTGCCCCAGAAAAAGCAACAAACCATCAGCACAGTGCTCCCAAAATGGGGACAGGAGTCCCAGAGCTGCCACACCACGGGATGGGAACCTCCTGTGCTCACTGGGAGGGCTGTAGGTGCCTGTGCTGGGCAGTGGTGGTACGATCCTGCCCAGGTTCCAGGGGATGCTCTGTGCGAAGACGTACGCATCCTCCTCTACATAGTCCACATGCGGAAGCCTCAGTGCCTGTGGGGAAGCACAACGCATCCTTCTCAGCTCCCCACAGCCTGGATTGCACCCAAAGGTAGCCAAAGGCTGGGCAAAGCCTCTGGCCAATCTCCAGGGAATGGCAATGCCAACACGCAACCCATAACGGCTGGGCAGGACGACCTTAGTGCTCCTTTCCAACCTACACAGGCACGCGCTGCTCACACCGTTATCCCCACGCTCATACCACGTCCAGGACGTCGCCGCTCATCTTCACCAGGAAGGCGGGCAGCAGACTGAAGACGTGCAGCATCTCACTCGGGTACCCGCGCCGTGCCGCCCGCACCCGCAGCGCCCGCGCCGTGCCGCGCACCTCGGTCTCACCGCTGCCCGCCCGCAGCAGCACCACGTAGCGCCCGGGCAGCCGCCACGCCGCCTGCAGGGAGGGGGACACGCACGAGCGCTCGCCCGGCTGCGGGGAGCCGCACAACCCCTCCTTCCCCCCCCCCTCCGCCCGCTGCTCACCTTGGCGGCCCGATGGAATGCGGCGGGCCTCGACGGGGCGGCCCCGAAGGCGGTCGCCGCATCGTCGGCCGCGCTCTGGGTCAGCGCCGGCTCCGCCACCGCCATCAGAAGCAGCAGCAGCGCCCGAGGGTCCATGGCACTGCCGCACCGACGGCACAGACGGAGCTGGGAACGGCGGAGCCGATGCGCACCGCGGTTCTGCCCGGCGCGGATCACGCCGTCGTGACCGCCGGGACGCGTTAACCGTTAACGGGGAGCCCCGGGGCGGGCAGCGGGCAGCCGGACCCCCCCTCGCCGTGAAGCGTGCAGCCCCCCCCGGCCCTGCCCGGACCGCGAGCAAATATGACCGCCTTTACCCTTGCGAACCCAAATGCCCCCAAAACCCCCCGCTCCTCCGTGCCTCTCGCTGCCTTCGTTCGGCGCTGAGTGTCCGTGAAATCCTCTAATCCCATTCGGGCTTTCCTCGCTGAGCCGTCACACGCCGCCAATACGGAGATCTCTCCTCTTTCTGGCGCTGCCCTCACCCTTCTGTCCCCACCTCCCTCCCGCGTTGCCCCGGGTCCCCCCACGCCTCTGGGGGAAACGGGAAATGGAACCCCCCGTGGGGACCGAGATCCGCGGGGACATCCCCAGAGATCTGCGGGAGGAGGGGTCTGCGGGGAGACGGGGGTTGGCAATGGGAAAAAATAATCATAGTAATGTATTAATACGAAAAAAAAATTAAGGGGGGTGGAGGGAAGAGGAACTCTTGCAGAAGACAGATCTGGTTCATAGGAGAAAAAAAAAAAAAGAAAAAGAAAAAAAGAAAGAAAACGGAGCTGCATTTTAAGTTAATCCTTCAAAGTAAGGGACTCCGCTCTGCCAAGAGCCGTGATGTTTCAGTAAGGATTCACAGAATGGAACTGCATCACGTTGTGCACCAGCCGGGAATCGAACCCGGGTCGCAAGAATGGGAATCTTGCATGATACCACTACACCACTGGTGCTGCGTATGTCTTTCAATGGACCCCATTAGCAGCTGCATAGAGGAAGGGAGTGATGCAGTGGCACAGAGAATGGGGTGGTCACCATCCCTGGGGGTGATCCACAGCCCTGGAGATGAGGCACTGAGGGATGTGGGCAGTGGGCATGGGTGGGTGGGATGGTTTTGAGGATCTCAGGGCTCTTTTCCAGCCTGAATGGTTCAGTGATTCTATGAGTGTCCCTGCCACGTGAGATGGGAAAAGTGCTCTATGGGATCCATGAGCTGAAGGTGAGGCAGCCAGGCTCCAGGAAGGACATGGGCACACACTGGGCAGTGCTCCCCAGACCTGCTGCTGCTGCAGTGTTTAGCCAACAGCTCGGCGGTCCCCGCCCTGCCAGTGGCACAAACACTGTGTGTGGAGCTGCCACCTGGCCCTTGTCACCTTGCAGAGGTGTGAGTGAAGGGCAGGGCAGTGCTGGGATGGGTGCTGGGGGCACCAGGGCCCCAGGAAGGGATGTTTCTTGTGCTGGGAGTAGCCGGCATCCTTGATCCCTTCATGTGGGTTGTAGGAAGCCAATGGGCCAGAGTCACCTCCAGCAAAATGACTCAAAGTTGGCAACACACAGCCCCGGGCTTTGGGCTCTGCCAGACCCCCCCCACCAACCCCCAGGAGCCATTCCCAATGCAGGAGGTGGGGAGCACCCCACTGACAAATAGAGCATTCCAGGGCACAAACAAGGAAGATCTCAGCTGCGGGAGTCTCAGAATCCAGCTTTAATTCCAGGGAGGCTTTGACAAATAGGAAAACTGCCGACATCTCCTCCCCACACAACCCATGGGATTGGAGCACTGCTGCTTACCTACACAGCCTGGCACAGCCCAGCTGCTTCCCTCTTCCTGGCCACATCCTTCTCACTGGCATTCGGGTTCCCTGTGCCCACCCCGGTGGTGCTAGGGCTGCACTTTGGGTGTCCCCTCCATACGGCATCAGTCCCCTTGGGGACATCATTTTTCAGGCTCAAAAAGGTGGTCGCTGTCCTCGAGGAGAATGTCTGACCCCTCTCCCAGCCCATAGTAGAGATCATTCACCTTCCTGCTGGCTTTTCGTGGGGAGCCGGGCTGCTCCCCCTGTCCAGAGCAGCTTTGGGGTGATGAGGGGCTGCCAGGCACAGAGCTCTCCAGCGAGGCCGTGTCCATGTCCTCCAGGAGGGATACCAGTGGTGCAGGGCCCAGGGGCGGCTGGGAGGGGCTGCAGGGACAGATTGGGGTGACAGTGGCAATGGGGTTAGCAGGATGCTCCCCTGGCCTGGCTGCTCACCCAGCTCTGATGTCAGCAGGGTAAATAATTTGGCACCGATGTTCAAACCCCCCCAGCATGCATCTGACCCCATGTGTACCACGTACCAACTGCCAGGCTCCAGCTGCGGGGCTGCCACCTGGGGGGATTCTTGGGGTCCCCCCGACTCCTGGTGCACCTCTGCCTTTGCCTGCAGCAGTGCCTGTGAGCAGCTGCGGGGCCGGGGCTGTGCTGATGCCTGGACCTGTTCGTAGGAGGGCAGGCTCTTCTCGTAGGCACTGCTGTAGGGATCCTGCAGGCTGCGGGGTGCAGAGTGTCAGGCAGCTCCCCATGCTGCTGGGAGATACTGGGGGATGCACATACCACATGGCTGCCAGGACGTGTGTCCCAGGGGTGGGAGGCACATAGGGACCCACTAAGAGCCCCCCAGCGCCTACCTGAGTGTCTCCAGGTTGCCCTTCTCCAGCAGCAGTGTGGCTTTGTGGTCTGGAAACTTCTCAGCCTCAGGCTGCACAGGGACAAATGTCACCTGGGGGAAAGAAATGCAGAGTCCAGTGGCTGCCATCTGCTTGAGGAAAAAGTCTGCCTGGAAAAAAGCCCTCTGTGCCAGAGCCACGGACACGGGAGGGACGCTGCTACCCTGCCATGCCCTCTGCCAAGGAGACTGGAGGGTCACAGCCATGCTCAGGGCTTTCCCAGGCTCCCACACCTTGAAGATCCCACTCTGAGCTTCCAAAATCCTTCCCCAAAGCACCCGGATCCCAACGAGCCCCCAACCCCAGGACAAAGCCCCCATCCCTCGTGCCCTACCCTGGGGTAGCACTGGCACATGCTCCATGTGACGCCCACGGCAATGAGCAGGATGCCCCCAGCACAGAAGGTGGCGTAGATCTGGGGCTTCTCCACGCTCATGATGAACATCCCAGTCATCACCAGGAAGAAGCCCAGCATGATGAACCCGTAGCGAAACGTCTTCTCCTCGGCCATGGGCAGGCAGTGGGAAGGCTGACGCGGGGAGCTCTGTGCTGAGCACACCTCCGGAGACAGCAGGAGTGGTTTCTCACTGCGGAGGCTGCCGGGGGCTGGGGATCAGCTGTGAGTGGGGCTGGTCCTGCCCAGGGCTGAGCCAGCCAGTTTTTATGGCTTTGTAATGAATGCAAACAGCAGCCCGCTGTTCACACTCCAGTGAAGCTGCCCGGCACGTGCTTGGCCAACCTTCCCTGCGGGCACAAGGGAGGGGATGGGGACAGCGAGGCGATGGGACAGGAACAGCAAGATGCTGGCAATACAGGGAATGGGCCACCATGGGTGCTTTCACAGCCTGGGATAAGTAACAGGGCTGTTGAGTGGGGTCGGCTGTTGCAGACTCAGCACTGGGCAAATCCTCAGCCCCCAAGTATTAAATTACACAGATGTGTATATTATATAGGTATAGTGGCGTATAGGTGCATAGATATATAGGTATACGTGTGCATAGGTGTACAGATATATTGGTGTGTAGGTGCAGAGGTATATCAGTATATAGGTATATATTTGGCTGTGGCTCTGCAGCCACCCTGCAGCCCTGCAGGGGTTCCTGGGCACTGCTGAGCTCCCCGGGATGCACCCACCCACCTCAGCTGTGGGTTTATCCACTGCACTGCACACAAATGGGGGCTGAGCAGCCCCAGATGTCTTTTGCTGTGTGAAATGACAAACGCACACGGACACCCTGAGCACACGCGTGAGCAGCCTGAGCATTTCTGAACAACATGAAGCCAGGCATGGGAAGTCAGTAAGTGTTGGGAGAGACAGGTGAGGGTGAGGGGCATGGAGGAGACAGAGGAGGTGTAGAGCAGGGCAGCATGGGCATGGGGAAGAAGCAGAACAGAGGCAGCAGACACCGCGCTGCACTGCCCACTGCCCCCACTCTCCTCGACACAGCTCTGCTCCCACCCTGCCTGCAGTCCCAGCTGGGATCTGCCTGCTTTCCTCCAGCTCTGTATCACATTCCTTGCTGCAGGTGTATTGCCAAGCTCCTGCTTGGAGTGGGTGAGTGCTGGTGGGACCCTGGGGGTGGCTGTGCTCCATCATGGCACAACGGGTGATCGCTGACCGCTGCCATTCCTTTCCCCTTTGGGGCAGAACCCAGTGTGGGTTGGGCAGGGCAGGCAGTGTGGGTTTCCACATGCTCTGAAACACCAAACATTTGCAACCAGAGGTGGTTTTATTAAAAACACGAAGGCTTCCAACATGCCAGCTGCTCACGTTGTCCCAAACGCATTGCTCGGAATGCAGGACAGCCCCGTGCCACACATGCTCTCCCCTTGCTGAAGGACAGGGCTCAGTCAGACACCCCGAACACTGATATTCTCGTAGCTGGGGGGCGGTGTTTCCTGTGGCCCAGCAGGGCTCTGGGTGTCCAACCATGAGGGGCTGGGGCGGAACAAGGCGCTGTCAGAGGAGCTGCGGCGGCGGCCGCTTTGCCAACGCTCATCTTCCTCCTCCTCCTGTTCCTCCTCCTCCTCCAAGTCATGATATGGCGGTGGCGTCAGCTCCTCCTTGCTCACAGGATGGAGGTACGTGCCATGAGCAGGTCTGCAGGTCAGGGCTTCTTCGTAGGTGGGGATGGCAGTGGCGTCCCAGGAGCTGCAAGGGAAGAAGGCACCCAGCAGTGCACAACATCAGTGGGAGCATCTTGGGACCCATCAATGGGAGCAGCTCAATGCCAGTTGATTGGATCTTCCCAGTGGCCATCAACTGGACTATCTCTGTGCTCAACAATGGGAGCATCCCAGTGCCCATCAACCAGACCATCCCAGTGCCCACCAATGGGATCATACAGCCCCCTGACAACTGGAGCTTCCTACTGCCCCACCGGCCAGAGCATCCTCGAGCATGGGGACACATGCATGCTAATGATGGTACTTGGGCAGGTTTTGCACACCTGGAGACAAGGGGAGACTGTGTCAGCCGCTGCCTGGCACCAAGAGGGCTCAGAGCCATGCAGGAGGAGAGGCACCATCATTGAGGCTTTACAACGAGTAGCATCACCCCGTTCCTACTGAGTTGACTGACCTCACCTTGAGGAAGAGGAGATGAAGCCCCACAAGGTGCCACCTCTGGCACCAACGACCACATGCATGTGTCTGGCTGCAGAGCAGTAGAGGTGGTGGCTCTCAGTCCCTGTTCCGTGCCACAGTGCTTCTTGTAGGCAGAAGAGCATCCTCATAATAACCAAACCCCTTCCAGGGCCCCACAGCTACCCCTAAAGCACAGGGGCTGCTGGGAGCTGAGCAGGCGGTTTACACGAGCAGGCAGGTGAGAGCTGGGCTTTCTTGTTCAGTGTAGTCCCAGCCCACCCCACACCCACCTGGGCCTTCCACGTGCCAGCCCTGCTGCTGCTGCTGCTTCCAGCTGCACTTTGCTGAGCAAACACAACTTGTGTACAGGGAAAACCTCCGCCCAACCTTTGCCCTCCCCATGCAGGATGCCAGTGCTCAGCGATGGCTCCTGCTGCAGTGCCAGGGTGATGTCAGGGTGATGCCATCCCATCACCATGAGTGCCGTGCTGGGGACACTGCTCCATTGATGTGAAGCCTACCAGAGCACCAGACAAGCTCACAGAGCCCCAGATGCTTGAATGAGCACCAAAAGCCCTGCAGAGCCAGGGACCAACCCTCTGGGTCAGTAATGTGTCTTTGTGCTGCACTCCCATCCCACTTAATGCCAGCCTGAGAATTGGGTTTTTTCCTTTTTTAGTTTTTACCCCATTTTGGTATAAATAACACAAACCCAGTCATTTTATAGAGCAGCATAAACTCATCCTGTTCACTAGAGACCATCAAAAGCAACGCAACACACTCCCTGAGCACACCAAAGAATGGGTGGCGCTGGCCAAGGAGCCACAGGACATCACACAGCTCCCACACTGTGCATGGGGACGGGCTTGGCCGACTCCATTGCCCAGAAAATCACTGCAGCCCTCTGCTCTCTGGCTCTGCACAGACACCCAATGCCCCGCAGGGCTGAAGAGCTGCCGGAGGATGAGCACAGTTCAGGAGCAGCCGGCGTGTGCACGGAAGCACGGGTTGATGCTAATGCACAACGGCATCCGCTCAGGAGCAGAGCGCAGCGATGGGTTCGAGCAGCTGAGCACACAGCAGCACCCACACCCACCTGCAGTTCCACTTCTCCGGGGGCTCAGCAGTGAAGTACTGCAGGTCGCGGGGGAAGCGGTACTGATAGCGCCGTGACACCACCCTGGCGTTGGCTTTGACGGACCAGAGCAGCCCAAAGAGGAGCAGGATGCCGCCGATGCCGCAGCAGAAGAAGCTGACGGAGCGCAGCAGCGCGTTGGAGGAGCTGGGCACTGCCTGAGCCTCGCGGGGGGGCAGGAGGTGAGCCCCGCTGCCCACTGCTGTGCCCACCTCCCCGTCGCTCCACCAGGCGAAGCACAGCGTCCCCGTCACCAACAGCACGGCCCCGGTGATGGTGATGCCGTAGCGGAACGAGGCGGCCGCCATCCTTCGGACGTTAGCACGGCTGGGAGGGGAAGAGGTCGAGGTAATGCATGGGAGCTCACGGCCTGCAACACAGGAGAGGGGAGGGAAGGACAAAGGTGTGGAAGAAACCTCCAGGAGGAGAGCTGGGACCTTTCCAAGGGTTGCACGCTTGAGTGTCCTCTTCCTACTCGATACCCATCTCCTACATAGAATCAAAGAATAGAAGAATGGCTGAGGTTGGAAGGGACCTACAGCCTCACCCAGCTGTGGGCTGGCTGCCCCCCAGCTCCAACTGCCCCAGGCCCAGCCATGGCTGTTGGCACCGCCAGGAATGGGGCACTGCAGCTCTGGGCACTGCTGGGGCCTCCCTACACCTGAGGAAAGAATTTCTCCCAGGCCCCAGCGTGGACACCAACAGTCCCCATATAAAGCCATTATGGTGTCACTTGTCACTTAAATGCACATAAATGTGCAAAAGAGATGACACAACACTCCCACCCAAATGAGAACACCAGGCAGTCGAGTTATGGGGCAGCTCCAGAGACTGTATGGTTCTTGTCTTTGGGGTTTGCTGCAGGCTGCCTCCCCACCTCAGAGGAATGCCAGCTGGGGTTTGATCAAAGCGAGGCTTATTAGAGGAGGCAGGGAGGGGATATAAATCTCAGATGTCATCGCTCAGCATTAACAGTGCACATTTTTCTCATCTGAAGCCAAATACAAATCAGCCTCATGGTGACAGTAGGTGCCTGGTGTTGCTACTCAAAACCCTGCATGCCAGGACCAGGGGCTGCACCACTTCTTGCTTTCTCAGGTACAATGGCCAAGGACATCCCCACAAGCCACAGGGATGCTGCTGTGAAACAGAGAAACAGACCCTGGAGACTGTGACAGGTCCCAAGATGCCATGTGAGCAGCTGCTCCCCTGTACCACACAGCTCAGGTCAGAGTGGGAATCCCTCCCCACCTCCAATAAAAGCCAGGAACCTGCTGGACACGGGGCTGGGGCCACCAGTCCTGCACTGTGCGTGCAACCAAGGGCAGGAGGAGCTGGGTTATGCTGAGCCACTATTTATCAGATGGGCTCACTGCATGGAAAGTGAAATGAATTTGTAGTGAAAGAAGAATGATCTGATCTTATCTGCTTCTAATGAAGAAATCCGAGGAGAAAGGAGAGCTGGGAAGTTCAGAGGACAGGGAGCACAGATGGTGTGCTCGGCTCTCATCCCACGGCCACAAACCCAAATTGCTGCCAGCAGCAGCCAGGGGCACCCAGCGGCAGCCAGAGGTCACATCTGTGCCTGACATGAGTCAGAGCTTCACCTCAGAGTGAGGGGGTGCCTTTTGAACAGAAAGGAACCGAGCTGACATGGAGAAGTGCTCTCTCCGTGTTCGGGGTTGGGAGGTTTGAGAGATGCTGCAGTTCCCACCCAGGGGGAAGGGGATTTTCAGCCCCCGCGTTGTACGTATCTGGGAGCGGTGGCAGCGGGGGGAGGAGGAGGAGAGCCTCTGGGAGGTGGCAGATTGACAGCTCAAGAATGAGCCCTTCTCTCCTGACAAAACCCGCGGGGCTGAACGCTCCCCCAGCGCGGGGGCGGCCGCTTCACACTGTCACCACCGCCACGATCCCCTCGGCAAAACCTCCCTGTCCGCTCTCGACATGGCACGGCTCTCCCCAAGCATCCTTCTAAGCCCTTTGAACGCACCGCGTTAGAAAAGAAGGAAGAAGCATCCAGAGGAGCCCTCATCCCGGCTGCTGTCGGCACATCGGGTCCCGTTGGACCCCCAGCGCAGCACCCACAAGGGAGGCTGCCGGACGCCGTTTCCGAGCTCCCATCTCCAGCAGCCAAGGCGCGCTTGGCTCTGCCCCATCTCCCCCGACCCGCCCCGAACCAGGCGTCGCCGGGAGAAAGATTTGCATGTTGCATGTCCAAACAGACACAGAGGTTAATAGTTTACATAGTTCCAGCGAGATGCTGAGAATAGCAGCCCCCATATAAAGTTATGCAGATGGTGATTCATAGGGTCTACCGAGCGTTGCTCAGAAAAAAACACTCTTTTCCAGAAAAACGAGAAACGAGAAGCGCTCCGAACCCTTTCGGACAGCAGGACCCGCCTCCCACCCATCCTTCCACCGCACGACGGAGGACTTTATGCGCACCGACGTGCCGAGAGGAACGGAGACGCACCAAAGCGTCAGCGCCCTAATTAAGAAGATTCCTTTCTGCCTCGGTCTGAATTTGCCGGCGTTGGTTGGTGTTGCGCTGTCAGCAATCAGGGGGTGGCACCGTCCGGACGCACGGCTCTCACCAACTTTCCAGCCGCATCCCATCGCCGTGCTGCCAGCGGGACCCGCAGCGCGCACAGCCCGTCCCGTCCCCGCAGCACGTCGGGGCTCCTCCGGCACAAGCCGCCGTTTCCCTCCCCAACCCGGGGAAGAGCCCCGCGGTCCCCGTGCCGTACTCACCCGCCGTCTCCGACCCCGTTCCGCCCGGCGGCTCCCGCAGCTCGGCCCGAGGGGCGGGCGGGGCCGGGCGGGGCGGGGGGCGGGCGGCGGCGGCGGCGGCGGGGCCCCACGGAGCTCCTGGGCGCTGCATCGTGGGCTTCAGGGTCCGCCGTCTCCTAGGGGAGGGAGGGGTGGAGGTCGGGGAGGGGGAGCGGTGTTCTCATCCCCGGGGGGTGGCTGGGGGGTGTGCTCGATGGGCTGGGTTTGTGGGTGTGTCTGAGGATGGTGAGGGCACAGCCCTCGGTGGTCCTTGGGGTGCAGGAGGCGGGGAGAGAGCTGCGAGATGAGGAAAGCACAGCCAGTGGGACAAGTGGGCGTCACTGCTGTCTATGTGGCTGGGACTGCAGTACCCTACAGGTGGGACACTAGGAACCTATGGGTGAGATACTGGTACCCTACAGGTTCCTACAGGAACCTATGTGTGGGTCTCCACTACCCCACAGGTGGGACACCAGGAACCTATGGGTGAGACAATGGCATCCTATGGGTGAGACACTGGCACCCTACAGGTGGGACACCAGGAACCTATGGGTGAGATACTGGCACCCTATGGGTGAGACACTGGCACCCTACAGGTGGGACACCAGGAACCTATGAGTGGGTCTCCACTACCCTATAGGTGGGACACCAGGAACTTTTGTGTGGGTCCCCACTGCCCTATGGGTGTACACCAACACCCTGCAGGTAGGACATCAGCACCCCCATGGGTGAGACACCTTACTGGATATCCTACTGGGACATCAGTACCCTATGGGTGGGACATCACTCTGACACTGGGCTCAGCACCTCCACTTCAGCACAAGGGGATCCCCACCGCTCTGTGACTTCTGTGGTTCTCCTCTCTTTGTGGAACTCTCCCTCATTCCAGTTGGATCTCCTTGCCGTGCAGCAGCCGTGGGCATGGCTGGATTTTAAACAAGCCGAGGGCGTTCTGATCTGAGGTTTGGGATGAGCTGTGTGAGTGGCAGCTGGATCAGTGCACGCTCCTATTCCCACAGGTGCAGGCAGATCTCACCAGCAGCTGTCATACCACGCTGTGATTGCTGAGCACCTCCACAAACCGTGAGCTCAAGCTGCATTCATCAACAGAGACATCTTCTGGACACACTTGTGCTGCTGCTGAGCCCTGGGCTGCAGCTCCTCACAGCCTCACAAAGCTGCTGCTCAGCCTCACAGCCATGGGGGCTGCACCACAGCGTGGGCTGAAACAAAGGCAATTGAAAGGGACGAGCAACTGAGCAACATTTATCCCTGATAAGACTAATAGAGTTTCTTCTTGTTGGAACAATGGGGTATTTTTATAGCTGTGCAGTCTTTACATAACCAACATCTTCAAGCACTTGTTTCAGCTCCCCTTTTCCACTTTTTTTTTTTTTTTTTTTTTTTTTTTGCTTTGCACACAGCATTTCTATTTTCCCTTGGCATAGGTAACCAAACCCTGAGGTCTGGATCCTACACTGTGCTGAGGTTTGATGCTTTTGGAGCACGGCCCGGAGTTTTAGCACTTTACATCATCTGGGTGTGGGCCCATAAAATGCTCAAAATGTTGAAATAAATGAAAGCAGACAGGTGACTGAGTGACAGCAGGATGGCGACGGCCAAGGCAGCAAAAGTCTGAGCTTTATTTGGAGGAAAAGGGGCTGTGAGTACATCTGGTACCAGGAGGCCAAACACACATGCAGACTTGCTGGGAGCTGAAAACAGGAGAAAAATTTGGCCTGCAGAATAAGATATCCTCCTGTATTTATTTCTGGTGACACCAGCAAGCCCTCAGCATCACATCAACCCCAAATGGTTTGTGTGTGTTCCCCAGCTGCCTTTGGAGCAGTTGACCTTGGGCACCTTGGTGGCCACGGGCACACGTGTGTGTTATCTCACAAGTCCAAAGTATCTACTTATTGCATGGGGGGCCTTTCAGTGACTGCAGCTCCTTTCTGATTCCCTGCACAATCAGTGAATCAGTGTCTCCAGGATCTTGCTGATGGAAGGAGATGGGGACTACCCTCACCTGAAGGTTTGGGTTGGATAGCAGGAAAAGATTCCTCTCCCAAAGAGCGGTGATGCAGTGGCACAGCTGCACAGGGAGGTGCTGCACACACCATCCCTGGAGGTGACCCAGGATGTGGGGATGTGGCACTGAGGGATGTGGTCAGTGGGTATGTTGGGGTGGGTTGGGCTTGGGGATCTCAGAGGTCTTTTCCAGCCTTCGTGATTCTGATAGCACAGTCACCTCTCTGCCCGCTGCCCCAGCAGGTGGCTGTGTTGGGCCACGAAGGTTCATCAGCACTGCCCAGCTGCCACCTCTCCCACACAGCCAGCCCTACCCCAGCCTGTAAGCCCAGTGCTGGTCCCCAGCCGCTCCAGCACCCAGCTCCTCCACCACAGCCACGCTTCAGGGGCTGCTGAGGACAGCGGCCCTGTGACAATGAATGCAGGGCTGCGTTCCTCTCACAGCCCTGCTCTCTGTTTTGACAAGTGATTCTTTTTACAAATCCCAGTGGTTGTAAAGCTGGGTTTAGTGAATACACCACAGCTCTTGGCACGTTTTTTCGGCAGAATGTGCTGAGCTTGCTTCTCAACACAGCAAACAGGCTCTGAATGCTGGGCCCCATCCCACGGATATTCCAGACTTTATCTCACACCCAACATCTGCTTGGTCCCAAGGTGATCACTGGGGTCCCAACCCCAACCCTCTCGTATTTTTTCCTTAAAGCTCTAAAGCTGAAATGTAACATCTCTCTTCAGTCACAGGATGTATTCCTCAGTATCAGGACCAACATGTGCCAACCCCCAGGTGCCACACAGAGCCGTGTTGCAGCCTATGTCCTTCCACACCGTTTGTTCAAGGCACTGGAATGTGCTTTGGTTTCTCAGCAGAGGGAGCTTCTCACATACCAGTTTGAGCACCAACATGGGCAAACCCTCTGAAATCACATCCTTTTTGCAGGTGGGACTCCTGACCCCCAGTAACCACGGGCTCAGCTATTTGCTGGACAAAGAAGGCTTGCAGCCTTTCCAAAATTCCTGATTCATTTTCATCACTAGTGCTATTGCTCATCCTTCTGACACCCCAGTGCCACCCGACAGCACTCTGTGGCAGTCAGTACCAGGGCTAAGGAAGCTTGCATGAAAAGAAGAGCTTTCTCACTCTCTCAATGCCTTCCTTTGGTCCCTCTGAATGCCTCCTGACGCTCTTCTTATGGAGACCAAAATTTTCAGCCTACTTTTGTCTGCAGCTCACATGCTCTGTGCAACATCACATACCTCTATAGCTTCATCTTTCTATTCTTTGTCCAAAAGCTGCAGCACAGCCGTTGCTAAGTCCAGCTTTAAAACCAACAAAGTGCTGCCAGTGCTGGCAGAGCAATCTGATGAGCACTCACCAAGGAGAGGGTCCATGTGCTCAATGAGAAGCCCCTGCTCTGCGCCCTGCACTGCACCTACACAGAGATGTGTGGGGCATGAACTCATCAGAGACCTGACCAGGGCAGGAGGAAAAGAATATTTTAAAAGTATTCCTCAGTTAGATCAGCTTTCCAACCTGTTGTACGGTGACAGCAGAAGCATTTGTACTGCACAGCATGCCCAGAACAGCACGAGTGGGTGGAAGGGATGGCAGGAAGGGAAGGAGGAAGAAGACTGCTTTTTTAAGCACCCTTGAAACGATAATTTAATTGAGGAGAACTGGGATTTTAATCTTACAGAACACTAGTCTCAGCTTTTTGTACCATAGTTGAAAATGATGCTCTGCTAAGCCTGCATTGGTTGCTGGATGATGTTTTGCTCACGCCCAAAATAACTAAAATTGAAACAATGCCAGCCTTAAAAAAAACCTGTCTCCCCCTCCCTCACCCTCTCCAGATTCCTGTACCTGGCACCACTACGCATTTGGGTGATTCCACTGCAATCTGAACAGGCATTCATTTCTGTTCCTTCAAAGCACAGTTTCACATTGCAGTCTTTGAGCTCACCTGCTCCCTCCTTGCTGCACAGGGCCTTACAAAAACAAGAGCAGAGCATGGGAAACATTATAAACACTTTTAATGGATCTTCATAAAAAAAAAAAAAAACAGTTTCAAAGCATTCTTTACGCTGAGGGTGTAAATATCCCCTTATATATATAATAAATGATGCTGTTATATTATAAACCCTGCCCTCAATCACCCTTAGATGAAGAGTAACTATTTAGCTCCTTTAGAGAGGTTAAAACAACCTCACGTAGGGCATGGGAAACTTCTTTTCCATGCATAATTCCAGCCAGCAGGCAAATTGGTAAGCAAAAGCAGATAACATCGGCTTAAATACAAGAAGGAAAAGAGCTAGCGGACAGCCTAGGCACAAGTGCAGTGAATACAATCTGGCCATGAATAAAGTTAGGCTGAAAAACCAGGAGAACATTTCCAAACATCAGAGCAGCAACATTGCAGGGCAGTCTTCTGACATGAGCAATGAGACAAAAAAATGAACCAGGTTCAAAGCAGCGTCTCCGGGTTTCCTGAAGGAGACTACGAGGTGTGACTGAGCTTTGAACCGTGATGCAGCAATCCTTCCCAGTCCAGCACTCCTGAGTCTCTCCTGTGGCAGCCAAAGGCACAGATCCTGCTGTCAAAGAGGAAGAGGCACTATCTGACATGTCAGCACGCCATGTCACGACGTGACAACATTCTCAGCCCTGGTGGCACCCTTATGAAATACCCTCATACCACATTCCTGTGGCGCAGGGTCAGCCGGCATCTCCTTGGTGGACTCTCTGAACTCAGTGCTGCTGTGACTGGGTCTCCGTGCCCCCAGAGCAGCAACCTGAGGCTGATGGAGCAGGGCTCGGGCCGCCTGCTGGCACTGTGTGAGCACATTCCTGGAGCTGCCTGCAGGACACCGCTGTCACCGTTCTCCTCTCTAACACTGCACCTCTTGAGAGACTCTAGCTGCAGAAATGCCTCATCTTCCTCAAGGACGTGCTG